TGACTGTCAGTATTAGGTTAACTTGAGTTAGATTTTTGACTTTCCCAGAGTTTAAGACTTGTTTATTTTCAACTTTTTTTTTTTTTAAAATCTTTTCCTTTTTGGTGCTAGGGGATCGAATCCAGGACATTGTACTTGCTATGCAAGGGCTTTACCACTAAACTACATCCCAGCCCATTTGTTTATTTTTGTAAATCTCTTTTTTTGTTTCTAAAATGGACAGAGCTGTGCTTGAGTTATGTTGAGCTGTGCTTGAAATGCTGATTCAGAGTGAACTATTAGGTAGTGGTCAGTCTACATTTGCCTGTTTCTGTGGTAGGTAATGTGAAATAAATGTTAAAGTAGTGCTTTTTAATGTTTGATAACTCTCTGGACATCATGTGCACTTCTTTATACACAAAATAATTCACAAAATCTAGGAATCATGGATTTCTTGAATCAGACCTACACAAGTCTACTGACTGTGGTCCTTATTTCTTGTTTTAAATGGGTATTTTAGGTCTTATTCCAACTTTTTATTCTTAGAATACTCTCAAGGCCTACTGAAACATTTCATGTTACTGAACATTCTAATTAGAGACAATATTTGATTCATAAGCATTCTAAACAGAAACAGGTGAGGGTACTGTTATGGAGATTAGAATTTCATTAATTTATTTGAACTACCTCCTAGTTATACTGTTCTGAAAAATGTATGATCTTTACATTAGTGACTGAACTTGAAAGTGGAGGTGAATTGTAGGAACTTAAAGCTAAGCTAATACTTCAGAGACTTTGTAATTGATTGCTTCCTATTTTGTAAATGAGAAAGCTCTGAGGGTCAGAAAGATTAACTGAATTGGCCAAAGACTCATAGCTAATTACAGTGCTAAAACCAAGGCCACACAATCAGGCAGCTAAAGTTTATGTTTCCTTTCTTTGATTTTTTGGATTTCTGTTTTGTTTAAAATAGGAAGCTCAGGTTGTTGGGGAAGTATTATTAAAATAAATTTTGAATTTCTTTGAGAGTTTTTTTCTCTCCAACTTGTTATTCGTAATTTTAACATTGGTCTTTGGAGGGAAATAAAATGAAGAAACTGGACTTGTTACTATTCTTGGAAGTATTTCTTTTTCTTTTTTTTTTCTTTGCCAGTCCTGGGGCTTGAACTCAGGGCCTGGGCACTGTCCCTCAGGTTTTGCTCAAAGCTAGCATTCTACCATTTGAGCTACAGTGCCACTTCTGGCTTTTTCTGTTTATGTGGTACTGAGGAATTGAAACAGGGCTTCATGCATGCCAGGCAAGCACTCTACCACTAAGCCTTCTTAAAAGTATTTCTGCACCATGTGCTGGTGGCTCACGCCTGTAAACCTATCTGCTCATGAGGCTGAGATCTGAGGATCGGGGTTCAAAGCCAGCCAGAGCAGGAAAGTTCGACAGACTCTTATCTCTAATTATCCACCAGAAAAACCAAAGTGGTGCTGTGGCTCAAGTGGCAGAACGTTCACCTTGGGCTGAAGAGCTCAGGGATAGTGCCCACGCCCAGAGTTCAAGCCCCATGATCGACAAAAAAAAAAAAGGTATTTCTGAGTACAGCTAGACACAGTGGATATCTGGAGGATAGAGGTTTGAGGCTAGCCCAGGCAAAAAGTTTGAAAGACCTCTTCTCAACCAATAAATTCTCTGTTACTTAGAAGTGTAAAGAGGTATATTGCTGTCCAGGCTTTTCTTGAGCATATATACAAGACCTTGTTAAAAAAAAAATAACAAAGGTTGGGAAGGTGGCTCAGTGGTAGAGTGCTTGCCTTGCATGCATGAGGCCCTGGGTTCGATTCCTCAGCACCACATAAGCAAAAAGAAACAAGCCGGAAGTGGTGCTGTGGCTCAAGTGGTAGAGCGCTACTCTTGAGCTGAAGAGCTGAGAGACAGTGCCCAGGCCTAAAGTTCATACCCCATGACTGGACCCAAAAAATAACAAAAGAAGAACTGAGGTACGTGGCCCAAGTGGTAGAGTGCCTGCCTAGTAAGCACAAGGCCCTGAGTTCAAACCCAGTGGCTCCACCCCGACAAAAAACAAAACCATTCAACCAAACAAAAAAAGTATTGTTGGGTCAGAACATACTGAAATTCAACATAAGAGGTGGTTTAGTATTTCAGAACAGCAATTTCTATTATACTTTTTAGCTTTCCCCTGCTCTTCCAGGGGCAAGAAGTATGAATGGCTTTGCATAGAAAACTTTTGTTTTCCTTTCCATTTAAATGAGGCAAGTTAAGTTTGTTTCAGATTTATTGAAATGTCAACTGTAGATTCTACTTTGTTATTCCAAATAATTTCTTCAGGCCAGAACAGTCATTTGAGGGACTGTTACTGAGTTTCCAGAAAAAGGGAAACTAATTTAGATTGTCTTTTCTGAAGTAGGCATTTAGAATCCTTACTGGAAGCCAATCTTGTATGTGGTTTGAGTTGAATTTGGGACAGTGACACTAACTTGGTGAAGACGGTATGCTTTCTGATTACAGGATGCAGAGGAATGATTTGTGTAAGGTATATTAAGTAGGTAGGTTTCATTAGGTAGCCCATGAAGAGAACACCATGCTGTATTCAGGCAGGAAAAGTTTATTTACTGAACTGCTGTCCGGCTGTGCATGGTGGAGAAGCATGGATGAAAAAGGAAGGGGCTACCCACCCCTGGGCCAGGACTTATCTAGGCCTGGAACCTGTGGCCTGGTGGGAGAAAGGTGTGACCACACTGGATCTGGATGTGACCTCAGGGCCTGGGACCTTCTTATGGTCTGATGGAAGGCTTGACCTGGGGCCAGGACTTGACCTAGCAGGAGGGGGAGGTGACTGCTTCCAGGTGTGCCAGTTACCTGGATAACACAGATACTGGGCAGAAACTTAGCTAAGAGGTAGGGGGGTGTCTTTACAGGGCTTGCATGGCCTGGGGCAGAGCCTACAATCTGGTACCCATAAATGATGATAGAAATGAAAAACATTGGTAATGGAAATATATATATATATATATATATATATATACACACACACACACACACACACACATATCCATATATATATTTGTTGAATACATAGAGACTGAAGTTTTCTTTTTCTTTTTTTTTCTTTTTTTGTCAGTCATGGGGGCTGAACTCTGGGCCTGGGCGCTGTCCCTCAGCTCTTCTGCTCAAGACTAGTGCCTGACCTCTTGAGCCACAGGGACACTTCTGGCTAGACTGAAGTTTTCAAGATAATGTGTAGTCCTTAGTTGGTGGATGTTTACTTAACTGCCCACTACCTGACCTGCACTGTTCTAGACATGTATAGTGGTGAGTGGCAGAGTTCTTGCACTTGACCTTATATTCTACTTGGGGTAGGTTATAGGGAGAGATACATAATAAACCATGGAGGGTCATGATAATAGCTGATTCAGAAATATAGGAGATAAATATTACTAGCATAAGAACAGAAAAACAAATCCTTGAGGCAGGAAATGACTTTTAAAAGGCCAGTGGAGTTGTTGCTTAAAGAATGGAGGAGGGTTAAAGATAAGAACTGGATAGAAAGACTAGATTATCTAGGTCAGTACAAGCTTTGATAAATGTTTAAGATTTTATTTTATTTTTGCAAAGGGAAGCCATTAAATGGAGGAGAGAGTATGGAAAATGTGTGAATCGTTGCTTTCAAAAGATCAATTAAGTGCTGTGCAGATGTCATTTGGGTCAGGGGATGAGAGAAAGGGGGAAGTGCATAATGGAGGCTAGTAGGAGACCATTGCATTGGTCTTGTGTGGTGATGTTATGGATTTGGACTAGGATTTTAATAGTTATGGTGAGATATTGTCAATTTTAAGGTGTGTTTTAGAGGTTAAATGATTGAAACTTATGAGTGGATTAGATAGACATTAGATGATCAGTTACTAAAACTGAGGAGAAAACATTTGAAGACAGGAGAAAGTAAAGTTCTCACATTTACATTTTTTTAAATATTTCATTTTCAAAATAACATATTTACTGTTTTTTTTGAGTTAAAAATTTTTATTGTAAAGATGCTGTACAAAGGGGTTACAGTTACATGAATAAGGTAATGAGTACATTTCTTGTTGAGCATTGTTACCCACTCCTTTGTTGTACATTTAGACGTTTTGAAGAATATAAACTAACTTTTTTAAGTTTAAGGGAGAAGAGTTGTACATGTTTGAGCACATTTAATCTGAAAATTTAGAACTTTTGAGTGTCCTTATGGCAGATATCACAGTAGAAAACCTCACATTGAACTTAATGTGATGGGTTGCAGCTAAAACAAAAATGCACTGAAAATGTTGTATCAGATTACCATCAGTATGTGTATAAGTTGTATATGAAACATAAATGGATTTTGTGTTTCAATACAAATTTTATCTTCAGTAAACCTCACTATGTATACCTTTTAAAATCTGAAAAAAATTGAATTCAGCAATACTGATAGTCCCAAGTATTTTGGATAAGGAATACTTAAGCTGCAATAGGTTTGTCTTGTGATATTGAATGCCTAATTTTGATTTGTAGCTCTATTGCTATTGTGTATCTAGCCAGGTTGGCTATATAGTTTTCCTTCAACTGTGTTTAACTTCTTGGCTATAGTAATGGAGCGATTAGATAGTTAGGTTTAGTAAAATTGATCAAGAAAGGGACAAGGAAAGTATAAATTTAGGCCTTTAATCTTATGGTGAGAATTTTGTAATAAATATTGGCTGTTTTTTTTAAGTGAATGAGAGCAAAAATCTGGATTAAAAAAGTACTCCTTTGGGGCTGAGGCTATAGCTCAGTGGTAGAAAACCTGCCTAGAATGTTCAAGACCCTAGGTCATTCCACTGACTGCAAGAAAAACAAGCGGAAAACTTTCTTCCCCGAAATATTTATTTAGCATTGAGAAAAATGTTAATATTTTGTGGTTCATATCTCATTTCCTTAGAAATTTGTTTCTTGGTTTGTAATTCTCTTTCTTTCTTGAAATACATGTGGTATAATTTATGCCATTTCTTTAAAGGTCTGTCTATGATGGTGAAGAACATGGACGATTCATGGAGAAGCTTGAAACTCGAATACGCAATCATGATCGCGAAATTGAGAAAATGTGCAACTTTCACTACCAGGGCTTTGTGGATTCTATTACTGAGCTGTTGAAAGTGAGAGGAGAAGCTCAGAAACTCAAAGTAAGGAGACTTACCAGCTACTTAATTCTTTTTACTGTTCTGGGGTTCTAAGTAGCATGAAAAAAGTAGGGATGACATTGGTAATAAAGATTTTTTTGTGTAATAGGAAGAATTTATATGGAAACTTAGATTATTGAGATTACAGCATTTAGCTACAAAGAGTACCCTTTTGCCCCATGCCAGTAGCTCATGCTTGTAATCCTAGGTATTCAAGAAGCTGAGATATGAGGATCACAATTTGAAACCAGTCCAGCTGTGAGACTCTTCAGTTAAGTATCAAAAAAAGCCCAAAGTAGAGCTGTGGCTTAAGTAGTAGAACACTAGCCTTGAGCAACAGGGCTCAAGGATAGTATTGGCCCAGGTCCTGAGTTCAAGCCCCAGGACTGGCACACACACAAAGAGAAAAAGAAAAAAGGAAAAAAAGTACCCTTTCAAGTTAGAGTTTAATTGAGATACCTACATATGGATGTGGACAGTGACTTTTCCTGTCATCTGTTAACTTGCTGGGTAAAAGCTGTCTCTATAGGATGACAAAATTTCAGGATATCGCTGTAGACTTATTTATAGCATGTCACCTAGGTTAAGGTAGAAAAAAGGTCTCTGGTAGCTGTGGAGTGTCTTCTATTGTGAAGATTCTTTCTTGATGTGACAGATTCTGTTTTAGGAAGTGGGCTAGTTACATTGGTCTGGTCCCCTGCTGTAGCAAATATACTTACCTTGGATAACTGACTTTATTTAGTGATCTTAACACTTAGCTCACTAAATTCTTCTGTTGTGAAAAATAATTTCTTTTTAGATTTTTTTGAGTTTTCTGTGTAAATAGTTCTCATATGAGTGATCTATCTATATCTATATTTTGAGTTTTTTGTGTAAATACTTCTTATATGATCTATAAGTAATAAGAGTTACCATTTTTTCTAGTACCTATACTTAAATTTTTTGTTGGAATTTGAATTTAAATGCAAAAATTATGATTTGGGGCGTGATTTGAAAGTAAATACAGAAATCATCTAAAATAATGGTAAGAAAAAAAAGAAACAATTTTATTTTGGACAAAAATAGGCTGAATTATATTTTAGCGCTCTAAAATTATATTTTAAAAAAGTTCAAAAATTCATTTGATAGTGAGGCGCTGTTGGCTCATGCCTTTAATCTTAGCTATTTAAGAGACTGAGATCTGAGCATCGTGATTCAAAGCCTGCCCTGGCAGGAAGGTAATGAGACTCTTAGCTTCAATTAAACAACAAAAGGTAGAAATGGAGCTGTGGTTCAAGTGGTAGAGTGCTAGCTTAGAGCAAAAATGGGATAGCATCCAAGGCCAGTACCAGCACACACAGATATACACACTTATCTTTGATGTGAATTTTTATATTTTGTCATGGGAATATTAATATGTTTGAGTTTGTGATGTTGTGATAGTCTTTACTGGGAGCTGTTGTGTTAATATACAATATGCTTTTATTATCTTTATAAAGTCTCTAGAATGTTAAAGTATAACCCTAAAATATCTTAGCTATAGACTTTTTCAACAGTTTCCAAACATCTCAAGAATAGAATATTGCCAACATGATTATGTCTGTCTTTTAGATCTCTTAGTTATTACTTCCTCTTCCTAGAGGTAACAAGTCTTTTGAATTTTTGCTTATGTGTTATTTGTCCTCATCTATACATCTCAACTGCCCTTACCGTGGGCTGTCCTTTTTTTTTGGTTGTTGGTTATGGGGCTTGAACTCATGGCCTAGGCTGTCCCTAAGCCTCTTTGTGCTCAAGGCTAGCGCTCTACCACTTGAGCCATATTGCCACTTCTGATTTTCTGGTGGTTAATTGGCGTTGAGTCTCATGGGCTTTCCTACCCAGGCTGGCTTTGAATCGTGATCCTCAGATCTCAGCCTCCTGAGTAGCTAGGATTACAGGTGTGAGCCCCCAGAGCCTGGCCGGCTATTCTTTTTGATGTGCCTTGAACACCTTCTCCCACTTCTTTACACTTCTCCCACAGTTCCTGTAGCCCTGGTCCATGATGGGCCTCATGATATTGAGGTGTTCCTGCAGAGGAATATTTCCTTAGCCAGGTAGTTTTGAAAATTGACTGTAGAAGTTACTGACTGCTGGTGTGGCTTGCTGATACCAATAATTGCATACTCGTGTACTCTCTTTTCTTTCTTTTTTTCTCTTCTTCTTTTCTACCTTAAACTTCAGATTACTTAGGTTGCAAAATACTTCATATTGGTTAAGATGCCTCTGAAGGAACCCCTGACCTACCTACTACTATTTTAGGATGTTAGTTTCTTTCAGCACTAGGGGCTTAATGTCTTCAGTGCACACCTCCTAAGGCTGTGCTCTAGGGGAACCCATTTAAAAGAATATATGAAATACATTTTTTGGAATTCTAGAAAAGAGTTTCAAATATGGGAAGGTTAAGTAGTAACCACTTTCAATACTATTTTAACACAATAATGAAAAGAAACTGTGCTAAGTACTCATTATTTCTGTTTATTCACAGCATACATATATGCTTATATATGTGTGTATATGTATGCATATACATATATACATACTTTTATGCTTTCTAAATCAAAAGAAGTACCTTCTTTGAGGTCATGTAGTGTAATTTTGATTATAATATGGTGAAATAACTACTGACTAGAATTGAATGTTGGTTAGGCTTTGAGGGAATTTTTTTTTTTCCTGGTCCTGGGGCTTGAACTCTGGGCTTGAGTGCTGTCCCTAAGCTTTTGTGCTGATTGCTAGCACTCTACCATGTGAGCCACAGTTTCACTTATGAGTTTCTGTGGGTAATTGAAGATAAGAGTTTCATGTCCAGCCTGGCTTCTAACTGTGATCCGCAGATGTTAGCCTTCTGAGTAGCTAGGATTATGGGTGTGAACCACTGGCATTTGACCAGGGGCATATTTTAGACCATAATTTGCATGCATTTAGTTTGGTGGGATTTGGTATTATTAACCAAACAGAAATTAAATAGAATAGAAAATAAAAGTGTATCACATATAGTATGGATAAAACAATGTATTAAAAATGTTTGTGTGTGTGTGTGTGTGTGTGTAAAATTCCTATACTTACATACTGGTTTCCAATGCAAAATGTATTGTATAATGGAATTGAGATAAAAATAGTGAGAAATGATGTATCCATAAGGAAAACAAGGCGACCTTAGTAGAAACAGTGATGCTGAGTTTAGTTTAGTGATGCTGAATTTATGGAGGATTTAATTTTAGATTCTGGTATGAGAGAGAAAAGTCTTATTTTGGTATCAAAAAACTATTTTGAGGGACTAGTACTCTGACTCAAAAGTCAACATTTTTTTATTATTATTTTGAGCTGTTTTCTTGTAGTAGCCATTTATTTATTTGAGTATTAAGTTTCGTTTTTAGAGACTCATCTTTCTTCTGCTGGCTCTTCAAGATATTTGAGGGCAGCCATTGTTCAGATAAGTTAGTTATAGTGTATAGTGTTATAGACATTGGACAAAAAAATCTTCCTCCCTTTCCTTTTCAGATGGTTCACCTTTGGCCTTTTCCTCAAATCTGTTCATATTTACTCATGCTTCAGCTTGTCAATAGCCTTTGTAAAACATGGTGTCTGAATATAATTGTCATAGTTGGGTCTTAAACCCAAACTATGCAGGTCAAATCCATATTGCTTTCTGTTTTTGTAAATAAAGTTTTATTGGAACACTGCTATACCTACTCTTTTACATATTGTTATCGCTATTGTGGCAGTGTTGAATAGTTACATGAGAGACTGTGTGGCCTGTAAAATCTAAAATGTGTACTATCTAACCTTTTATGGGAACAGATTGCTGACCTCTTTTAAAAAAATGCTTCTATTAATGCCTTAGATCTGCATTTTGGGCAGCTACATCACACTCTTAATTCTATTGAGCCTGCAGTCCAATAAAACAACAAAGTGTTTCACATATGGTGTTATTAAATAAATAATAAAGAGGTAATATGAGTGTTTCTTGCTTTTCTTTTTGATACTTTATAAAGGCTTTTGGAAGGAGGTCAGATTTCATTTTTTCTTTGAAAGTAGTGGTGCTTGTGGTAGTTTCTGAAAATGTAGTCTAGGTAGTTAGAGCAACATTTTAAGAAAGTATGTTTTCTGAAAAACTACTTTCTTGAGGTGATTTTGAGTGAAAAGGTGGTAAGTTAAATAACTTTGGAAAAGACCCCATATGATAGCCCTTTCTTCGATGTTTATAGTGCATGTTGTACTGTGAGTGAGTGTGTGTGCACACATGTGTTAATAACATCAGTGAAATTTCTTGGTATTCTAAAGGATATAATAGGAAATACTGGGCTGAGCTGGGGAATGCAGTAAAAATATAAAGAGTAGCTATTTTCATTAGTTGAAGACTAGACTGTATTACAAAAGTTTGGGAGGTTAATATTGCTTATATTTTGATAGTGTCTCAGATGATGGATGAAGAAACTACTGTTCTATGTACTTTTTTCTATGTATTTTTTGCATCAGTGGACACATCAAAAATAGATGCTATTAAATTTGCATGCTGTGCCTTCGAATTAGGAACTATAGATCATTTAAAGGCTTATTCATAGATTTTTAACTTTGATGGCAAAATTAATGGAAATATGGACATGTTGGTAGCTGTTAAACATTAATGATCAGCAAGAATTAAGATCAAATGGTTTCTTAAATTAGGGTAATAAGCAAAGAGTGAATACTGGACTTGAATTAAAAAGTTGAATTCCTATCTAGCCATTTCAGGAATACATTGATGAAGTGAGGAAATGTCTGTGACAAAAAGCTCTGTATAGGTTATTTTTTCTATTCTCTCTCTTTCTCTCTCTCTCCTTCCTTTCATTCTTTCCAAAGTTAAAGTGTGATCCTTAGTCATTTATATCTTAGGTTGAAATGTTCCAAACTAAACATAATCTTTCCATGATTTTTTTCTTCTTAGCACTACTCAAAAGGTCAAATATTCAGTAGAAGGTAGAGTTAACATTCAAGAGAATGCCATAGGACCAATGTGTGGTAGAATCCTGAAAATATCAGCTACCTAACCCCAATCTTTTCACATTGATCCTGATATTTACCCAAATATTCTCTAAATGTTTTTTATGAGTTTCAATTGTCTTCTCTCCACAGAACCAAGTGACGGATACTAATAGAAAACTACAGCATGAGGGAAAGGAAGTAAGACCAGTTTACCTTTTGAAAAAAAAAAATTCTGTTTTGTGCCATTCTCTTCTGATGACTGTTCTTCATATAGATGACTGTTCTTCATTCATATGTTGGAAGCAGTAGGATGTTATTGTTGCTTCTTGTAATGTTTATTTGAATTAAATGAACATAGCCACTTCAAAGTGTAAAGAAAGAAGATGTAGCTTGCCTTAGCTGTGTTTTAAAATCATTTGTTATCTAATAGTTATAATATGGACCTTCTCCCTGCCTTGAATGCTTGTTCCCCAAAAGTTAACCTACTTGAAATCTTTCCTCCAATATTACCTTCTTAATTACTTTATTTAAAATGGTAATCTCAACCTCATTTCCTATATTTGTTTTACTTCTTCCCACTGTTTTTCTCCATTGTACCTATCATAGTCTTGATACATGTTTTACTTACATAGGTTTTTTTTTTTTCCTCCTCATCTGCCTCCTTCCATTACATATTAAGCCCCATAGAGTCAGGAAGTGTCTTTGTTTTTTTCATTTGGGTATCCTTTTTTTATCTTCCTGAACAGTGACTGACACATAATGATGCTCAACCAATATTTGTTTGAAGAATGAATCATTGATGTTATGTGATTTTATGATGTGCTTATTATTTAAACCTTTAGCAGTTTGCAGTGTTGTTTTATATCCATTTGCTTACTTAATCCTTAGGAGTAATTAATGACAAACTGAGGATAAAGTACTATCATTATTTTATTGATGGGGAAACTGGAACAGAGAAAATGTGTTACTAAAGCTAACATAATATTTGACAAAGCTGGTACTAAACTCCAAATATTCTGGCCGATAGTCTGTTACTTTTTTCTGTATCATATATCTCCGTATTCTTTTTTGCATGATATCTAACTAAATAACATTTTTAGATACAGTTTTGAGATAAATGCTGTAAAAGAATATGTAACTTTTGCTTTTTGGTATCACATATTCTAAATTTAGAGCATATAGAGTGATATGACTTCAGATAGAATTCTTTAAAATTGGAACTATGAGAAGAAAAATGACTTATTCTTCACTACACTGGATCTCTTAGAAAAACTACATTTTCTAGGTGTGTTATTTTTTACAACAGCCTAGTAGAAGATCATTTTCATGTGCTTTTGAAGCTCACTGGTGAAAGAAATATGAGATCTTCACATAGGACTGGGGAAACTATAAATCATAAGGAGTTAGACTAGGATTTGGAGAAAACATGCAAAATGTTTTCTCCTGGATAGCTTCTGTATTTTAGGATATCATTTTACCTACTTCTTTCTAGCAGAGTCTATATCTTGGGGAGAAGTGGGATACCATGCAGGAATATTTTACTGGTTGGGAAAGGCAGTTCCTTAGTCTACTTGGCAGGTCTTACTATGAAACTGTCTGGGATTTTCTGATGAATTGAATACAATGTGGAAAAATGAGACTGAAAGCTTTTTATTTACAGCTGTTGGCATAATTCAGTTTTTTTCCCTCTTGCCAAGCTGGTAATAGCGATGGAAGAGCTGAAGCAGTGTCGACTACAACAGAGAAATATTTCTGCCACTGTTGATAAATTAATGCTGTGTCTTCCAGGTGAGGAACTGGAAATGGAATAGGGCTCTTGTCACAATACCTTTAGCTTTAATTAGCTTTTCACTTTCTCTAAATAATACCCGTATGTTCTTTTCTTTCAAGTTCTAGAGATGTACAGCAAACTGAGGGAACAGATGAAAATGAAAAGGTAAGGTTTTTTTTTGCCGTTTTTATTTAAAATTTCTGTTAACTAGAATATTTAAAGAATATCTTGTAGTCTATAGTTGTCGAGACTTACTTACATGCATTAGTAGTCTTCTGTTATGTCAATAAAAAATAATATTCATAGTTTGATTTTTAGAAGGCCCAATCTTCTAGGGGAGAAAAGCATATCATTCTTAGTGATAATTGATTTGGGAGACACATGTGGTTTAGTATTCTTATAGAAAAAATAATTCTGGCTCTATGCAAGAATGTATTCATCAGGATTCTCTAAAAACCAGTCAGTACTTCATATTACATATATGGGAAGAGAACAGTGAAACCTATTGATGTAAGTTTAAGAAGTAGAGGAGGCTGATATTAGCCAAAGAAAAGAAAGAGGGGGGAGAGTAATAAGGTCAGTTGATTAGAGAACATTGTGTGATTGCGTGGAAATACCACAAGGAAGCCTTGTACAACTAATATCTGCCAATGAAAATGTTTTTATAAAAACCAACCAAGAGGATACTGTATGTATGTGTGAGTATTTATCTGTTTGTCTGTGGAAGAATTTATTTTAAGGAATTGGTTTGGACAATTAGGGAGGTCCACAAGTCTAAAATCTGCAAGTAGATAGACAAACTAGAGTTAACATCACATGTTCAATCTACAAACTGTTAATTTCATGGGATAGGAATGAGAATGGAGTTTAAAACTGTCTTCAGGTGTGATTGGTGATAGCCATCTACATTATGTATTTTTTATTTTTATTTATTATTATTATTATTATTATTATTTTTTGTCGGTCGTGGTGCTTGAACTCTGGGCTTGGGCGCTGTCCCTCAGTTCTTCAGCTCAAGGCGAGCGCTCTACCACTTGAGCTACAGTGCCACTTCCGGTTTTCTGGTGGTTTATTGGAGATAGGAGTCTCACGGTCTCTTCGGCCCGGGCTGGCTTTGAACTGCGATCCTCAGATCTCAGCCTCCTGAGTAATTAGGATTACAGGCGTGAGCCACCAGCGCCCGGCTACATTATATATTAAGCAATCCGTTAATCTTTTTTTGTTTTATTCTTCTGCTGGTACTTGGGTTTGAGCTTAGGGCCTCAAGTTCTTGGATGGCTTTTTTTTTGCTCGAGGCTGGTGCTCTACAACTGAAGCCATACTTTTACTTCCAGCTTTTTGGTGGCTAATTGGAGATAAGAGTTTCACAGAGTGGGCTGGGAAGGTGGCTCAGTGGTAGAGCACTTGCCTTGCATGCTCAAGGCCCTGGGTTCGATTCCTCAGCACCACATAAGCAAAAAGAAAAAAAGCCGGAAGTGGTGCTGTGGATCAAGTGGTAGAGCACTAGCCTTGAGCTGAAGAGCTGAGGGACAGTGCCCAGGCCCAGAGTTCAGGCCCCACGACTGGACCCAAAAAAAAAAAAAAAAAAGAGTTTCACAGAGTTTTCTGCCCAGGTGGCTTTGAATTACAATACTCAGATCGCAACCTCCTATCAATAGCTAGGATTATAGACATGGGCTACTACCATGTCTGGCTTTTAAGTGTTAATCTTATCTAAAATATACTTTCACAGAAATATCTAGAAAAATGTTTGAATACAAGTCTGAGCACTGTAATCCTACCCAAGCTGACAAATAAGATTAACTCTATCACACAGGACAAGGCCAGGGTTCAATTCTGAAGAGTCTTCTCCTATATAGTATTTTCTTCCAGATGAATCTCTTGTGTCTTTTTCAGTGTTATTTCAAAAGAGAGTCAATGTTTCCACCTTCTGCTAGGAGCACTGTGCAGTATGAGGTGGTGCTTTATTTTGGTAAATAGTTGTTTGCAGTTCATTTGATAATTTTAGACCCCCTATTTTAAATTCTGCTAAACCCACCTTCTTTCCAAAGGCAGTACCCTTTACTGAGTAAGACTTAATCCCTCTATAATCTGCTATAAATAACTCAGCAGTTCTCAAGAATTCTTTATTTTGGCTAACAGAGTCCTGGTGTTTCTCTCTGCCTTGTTTGAGCTCCTCTAAGTATTCATCTCATCTCTCTCTGTCACTGTTTTCCTTTTCCCTTTCCTTTCTTCCTTTTTGTCTATCCATTAGACAGTTCACTTTTCCCCCAATATAATTCTCTGCAAAGACTCAAGGAAACTCCTTTGCAGATTTTTGCAGGTTTTTCTCCCATTGTTTCCTTCAAGTTGCCAAAACCCTCTTCTACTTTCATACTTATCTATCAGTGAATCTACTTGGTTCTGTTTTAAATTGAGTTTCTGTCTTTGTCTCTCTCTGTCTGTCCGTCTCTCACACACACATCACTCTTTCACTGTTTTCTGTTTTGTCTGATGTTCAGTGAATGAAAACAGTTGTTTTATATAGTTTAGTCAATATTCTACTTGTTTATAAAGTTGTTTTATATATTTTACTCAGTATATTGTTTGGGTATATTGTTTTATAGATTTTAGTCAGCATTCTACTTGTTTATTAAGTAGGAGGTCATGTCTGTCTCTTGTTGTGCCTTCATGGCTGTAAGCCTAGATTTTTTTTTGGAGCTGATTGTACTACAGGGTCTTAATAAGGAAAGATATCTGACCATCTTTCTCAAGCACATAGAAGGTCTTAACTATTTGCTTACGATGCTTTCTGATTAGGAAAGCACCTAATACTTTCCTGTGTCAAAGGCCTATATTTCACAATTTTGTCATATTCTGAATTGAAAAAATATGTATAGGTAGTTGTGATTTGCTTTCAAGGACCTCTTACTAGATTTGAAGAAATCATTATAATGGAATGGGAAGAAAATAACATAATTTTATTTGTCTGGAATCAATATTCTTCTCAAGATAGATTCAACCATATCAAGGTTATTGGAATTTTAGTTATCCAGGTATAATATTCAGACATTTTTGCGTTCTTTTTGTTTCATGCTTTATATTTCCTTCATTTCTGCTTATATTTTTATTTATTTATTTTTTTAATTTTTATTTATTTTTTATTGTGAAAATACTGTACAGAGGGGTTACAATTTGATGGGCAAGATAATGAGTACATTTCTTATCAAGCATTGTAGCCTCCTCCTTTGTTTCCCCTTCCCATCCCTTCCCAGCCTCCCCCCTGCTTATATTTTTATTAAGGAGCCTGCTGTCGGGGAGAGGAGAGAGTGAACACACATATACATGAAATTTAGGAATTTGACTTTTGACTCAGTCAGTAATGTTTGGAGATTATCAAACAGTATGTCAAAAATCTGGTTTGGAATTTCCATGGCCACAGGAAATAGAATTTTTTCTTTTAGTACCTGTTATTTAGATATTTAATTGACTGTTATTATTTATCTGTCAGTGATCATGAAGTCCAGCAAAAATTTGAATAATCTATTTGATGTTGTAATTTGAACATGAGTATGCTAGGGGAGAAGAGATAATGGGGAAATAAGGTGATACTTTTTGTTGCCAGGAATCATTGAGTTTTATACTAATTAGCCTTGAAAAATGTGGATCTCTTTGACAGACCAGATGTTTTCTGCATGAGCCATGTGTTTCATCAGAGCCTGTGCCTGTGTCTGCAGGCAATATCCTTAGATTTTTCTCATTCTGTAAACAATGTTAGAAAATATAACTAAACCCCCAAATGTGTTTATCTTTTTGGCTTAATTTCTGGCTTTCTATCCATTCTAAAGTTTCTCTCTAGAGGAATTGCATTTTATTATACATAACTCTTTGTACCTAATTTGAGTATAAACACCATTGTGTTTACACTGAACCATGTGAATTGTACTGTTTTTGAGTCTGTAAAATTTTAATAAAACATTTATTTCAGTTTTAACTATATTTGTGCTTTCATTACTAAATTTAGGAGAAATAAACCTTTCTTCTCTCCATAAATTTGGAGTAAGAATTTTGACTCTTGGAACACACGAGAGTAGACATAAAAAAGAACTAAAACCAGTCTCTAGTCTTTAGTGTTTGTGGCACTAAGAGTATTAGAGCATGAAGAACTTAAGTATCTGCTATGAAAATTATTCTTTGTAGGGCTGGAAATGTGGCTTACTGGTAGAGTGCTTACCTAGCATGTATGATGCCCCTGGGTTCGATTCCTCAGTACCACTTAAACAGAAAAAGCTGAAAGTGGTGCTGTAGCTCAGTGGTAGAGTATGAACATTGAGCAAAAGAGGCTCAGGGACAGTGCTCAGGCTCTGAGTTCAAGCGTCCCCCCAAAAAAAAATCTTTGCATACAAAATAGATCTATAAGTCAGTTTACTTTATAGGGATAGAACTGAGTATTTACTCATTATATCATGTGAAATGTGGAAATTAGGGAATTAAAAGCAGGGTGGGGGGAGGATTGGGTGGGGGGGGAGAGGGAGAGGCTGGGAAGGGATGTAAAGGGTAAACAAAGGAGGAGGCTACAATGCTTGAAAAGAAATGTATGCATTATCCTGCCCATGTAATTGTAACCCCTCTGTACAGTATGTTCACAAATAAAATAAAATAAAAAGAAGTTTGAGATCTGGAGTATCTCAGTTTGAGCCAGGGAGAAAAGTCCTTTAGACTCAATCTCTAGAATACCCTAGCAAGAAACCAGTGTTGGAGATGTGGCTCAATTGGTGGACTGTCATCTGAGGAAGAAAGCTGAGCAAGTGCAATGCTTTGAATTCAAACTCTGGTACAGAAAAAAAAATTAAAAAAGCATAAAGAATAAAATTGTAACTCACAAGGTTTCTAAAGAAAAAAAGCTTAACATTTGTGTATTTTTCAGTTACTCTATACTTTTGTGTATATTCAATGACATTCATACACATAATTTATTCATGTGTGCCTATGTATAATTTCTAGAAATGTCATATATTTGTAAAATCTTCTTTATTTCTTCAACTGGTGCACCATTATTGTAGTTTGCTGTCTACCAGGCTTATGTGTGGAGTTGATGGAGCAAGTTCCCATTTCATTTCTCTGCTCTTAAAGCCTGTTTGATATATTGTTCTTGGATAAGGTGTGAGGATGGGAAACTAGTAAGA